CACAAAGCATATTTGAACAATAAAAAATATACTATTAGATACTTATTTTAAAATACAAATAGACTTAAAAAACATTAGAATAAGATCACTATAGTATGTGCTAAATAAATTACATAATGTTGTTACATAAGGGTAATTTATTTTATCATGAACTGACATTTAATTAATACATGAGAAAATTAAACTAAAAATAAATCTTAAAACTTTAAATAACGGTTAGTAATTTATATTGAAGAAATTAGTTTAAAAAAGCTATTAATGAACATTAAATCAATGCTGCTTAACATTGACTTTCCAATATTGTCACATTGTGCTTTTTATATGTTGCAATGACATTAGCAACCATATCCAATATTCTAAACTGTTCTCTTTATGTTTCCTATTCACACTCAGAAGAATGTTTATGTCAATGATGAGCTTCTTGCCATTCTGCCTGGTAACAAAATACCCTACTAACACAATAAATGTTGTGTTACCAGTGTCAAAAAAATATTCCTTTGAAAACAGCAGAAAAGCTCATTTTCACTACAAACATTAACCTGAACATGAATAGAAAATGTCAAGGAACAACTAAGACCCTTTGACATAGCTGTAGTGATGTCCCTGAAATAAATAAAAAACAACAATGAGACAATACTGTAATGTAAATGTTGTTTAATGCATTAATTTAAAGTTTACCAATAACTTCTTTAAAGTAATTTTTATTTTTATGTTTTTCAGTCTAAAGTACTATACTACAGTATATATACAATGATTTACAGTTTTATCTTTAATTCAGTTTTATAGTATACTAAGTGCTATATCTCTGACTACCTTCAGCAGTTCAATTCCAACATTTCATGTTGCTTTATGATGTGTGTGTTCTCATGTGTTGAATTTATAATAATTTTTAAATAATATTAGTTAAATACATAATCAAATAAGTATAAATATGCTTATATTAATCATCCAAAGAACTTCACAATGTCATATGAGATGTTAAAGGTCATACTTTGATGTCTCATAGGACCAAATATTTCAATATTTACAGATTTGATCTTTTCTGGTAATATCCTCAATGTCCACTTTTGAATGCACTATTTCATTTTCCTATAAGAAGCCTGCTTCTATTAAAATATTTCATTTCAGTGAGTCAATCAGTGAGCCATATATAATAGTTTTATTATTTAGATTACCATTCACCAACAATCATATTAATTAATATTGTTACATACAGGTAGGGTAAACATTGGTAAATTCGTGATAAAATTAATTATTCTTTAATCATTGGACACATATTTTGTAAACAGAAATGTTAACTATATTATTAAAGGGTCCATATTTTGAAGATAACAGCATTGCTTTTTGTCTCCATGAATATATATATAGCTTAGTTTCCTAGGGATATATTTTTTATGTTGCATATGGGTGATTATTTTATGATAAATGTTTATTCCAAATATTAGTAAAATACTTTATTACTTGCAGTGTGTAGCTTCTTTGTAATCCAAAACGATAATTGGTAGACGAACGAACAGCAATTGGTTAGAAAACGTTACGTTTTATTTAAAAATTTCTAATTCATATGCATTTCGGGTTGGCTTATATTCCCAACTCCTCTTCAGTGCTGTTAAAATTACACAAAAAAATTTAAGGTTAGTTTTACGACATTGGTGAATAGGAACATAACTGAAACGCGAGGTGATGATAACATAAAATGCTTACTTGTTGTATAATGGTACAGCATAGATGTATTTTATAAAATTTTAATTACATAGTAGTATGCTGTACCATTATACAACAAGTAAGCATTTTATGTTATCATCACCTCGCGTTTTTAGTTATGTTCCTACTCACCAATGTCGTAAAACTAACCTTAAATTTTTTTGTGTAATTTTAACAGCACTGAAGAGGGGTTGGGAATACAAGCCAACCCGAAATGCATCTGAATTAGAAATTTTTAAATAAAACATAACGTTTTCTAACCAATTGCTGTTCGTTCGTCTACCAATTATCGTTTTGGATTACAAAGAAGCCACACACTGCATTTGATGATAAAGCAACCACGTCCTCTACTTTATTACTTATCAAAGTATAAGTTTTTAATAAATTTATATTATAATTAGTATAAAACATTCATATACAAAATGTTTTATTTTATTAAGTATTCTTCAAGATTTAAAATCTAATAAACCGAAAAAATAAATAAAATAATCTATTATTTTAATTAAATTACAAAACTCATTGAGAAGTTTAACAGTGAAACTTTTTCTTGTGGGTTATCAGTCTTTAAATTATAGAAGTTATATAAATTCCAACTACAAGAAAACATTAAAGTGCAATGTTGTTAATTTGATTTATTAACAAGTGCAAAAACATCCTCCTTCAGGATTTATTTTCTCTATATGAAGTGTTTTGCATTTGTTTAGACAAAAGTCCATCTGTATGTCAGTGAAGTAAGTAATTTTTAATCAATGATTTAGGTGTGCTTAAGTGAATGCACATAGTATTACTACATCATCTCATCTGTGGATGACATATTGTTGTTTTATTTTGTTTGATGTTGAATCCATAATTTGTATTGTTTTCTAGAGTGTAAGTATATCCCGAGTATGCTTATATGCCTTTTGCCGAATATTCTTATTTGCCTTGTGTGTATCAAAAGACTTTGAGATTAAGGGATTAAATTATTTAAATAAATTTCAATATTTCAAGAATAAATTTAGATAAGCTTTCATTAAAATAAAAACTTTTTCTAAACTCTATCTTAAAATACTTTAAATGGGCTTAAACTAATGGAATTAATAATGGTATATAAATACAGTAGAGCGTCGATTTTCCGAAAGTCAATCATACGAAAGAATTCCAGTCGGCAAATTTAAATTTTCGCCAGTGCTGTGGCGCTTCAATCTTTGGCTATGTCTTGGGCTACTCAAATATTTTACGTTTTTGATACTAAATTAACATCTGAAGTATAATTTTTTATTATTTTTATATTTTTCAATATATTTATTTTGTTTGTACAAAATAAAANATATATATTAAATAATTTAGAATATTCTGGAACATATTCTAAATATTTAATATAATTATGTAATATTTAATCATTAATAGTAAAAAAGCCTGAAAATCTGTCAATTTTTTGGCTTATTACAAAATATCAAGTGTATAGATGTTTATATATGTATTATTGTAAAGGAAAGTTCTCCATAATGTTGCAATTACTTTAAATGAACAAAAAAATCAAATAAAAGGAACTGTATGTAATTTTATGCACAAATTTAAAAATTTATTAAAAAATTTTCAGATGAAACTGTTATTTCTTGAATTGTGTAGAAAGAACAAGATGAAGACACTTTTAATGTATTCTCTCATTTGAAAATTTAATGTCATATATTATATATAACATATGTGAAATCAAACTATTACAAAGTTTTGTTATAATAAAGAAAATTTAATTAAAATTTCAAGAAAATTTCAAATTATAAAAATACTAGCAGTATTTATATAATTTGGCTTGAAATTATATAAATATAAATATAGTTAATTTTTTCCTGAGCAACACCAAGCTCATCTGCTAAATGAGCTTGGCATTGCTTGGGCAAAAAGTAACGATAGCTAAGATTAATTAATTTTAAGATTATTAGATTATAGCCAATCTTACCCATTTTTACCAGATGCAAGAATTAGGTCCCCCCTCTTCTGAGATTAATTAAAGAATATTTAGATGGGTCTAAAAATATGCTTAATTTCCCACAAAAAAAGCAAAAAACTGCATCTAAAATAGTTCAATAGAAGCTGTTCTTCAGGGTAATCCTTAACCCTCTCCCTCTCACCCAAGTAGGGGGAATTTCAAAAAATCCCTTCTTAGTGTTCATTCTCATGATATACCCTAACTGTGTACCAAATTTCAACCTTTAACTCCTAACTGTTTGGCTTCTGCACTTATTATTATTATTATCAACCTATCTTGATTATATATATATATATAGATAATTTGGCTTGAAATTTACCATCATAATCACTTGTGTAAAAATATTCAAATAATTCAAAATATGAAGATAAAACTGAATTTTTAAACACTTTCAAACAGAATAAGTTCAATTTACAGAATTCAGTTTATATTGCAGATTTGACATAACATAGGCCAACAATTTCCGAAATTGGGTCTGCAGATCAGTTACAGAGTATCTACAAAGTGCTCAGAATCTAATAATGAGTTTATGTTCCTAAAAATATACTAATAGTGTACAATGGGTTTCTTTATAGAACACTACTTACTAATATTATAGTAATAATATATTATAATATAATTAATTTATCAATAACATCATACTTTAATTAAATAAAATTATTTATTAAACGTTTATGTAATATAATTATGTAAACATAGCTGTAAATTATATCTATAGATATTTCTGTACTTAAGGATCAATTAATTGAGCCGTTGATTTTGAAAGTGGGGCAAGTCCATTTTGTGAAAAAACAGTTAAAGCTAATTTTTATTAAAAATTAACATAAAATTTATGTTTTTAATCAATTCACAATAAATATGTTTTATTTTAATTCTTGAAGTTAGACTATTTACAAAAATATATTAATATTTTCGAGTCTATCATTAAAAGGCTGGCGTTTGATCATTTTTAATTGTGAATTTTTACTTTTTATTATTTGTCTTTTAAAGAAGTTTAATCTTCTAACCAATGTAACTGTGTCTTCTGTGGTTTGTGTAAAAGGATTTAATAATAGACTCAAAAATATTAATATATTTTTGTAAATAGTCTAACTTCAAGAGTTAAAATATTGAAGAATGTCCTGAGTCAACATTGAACATTGTGAACTTATGTAAATGAAGATGATAGACTCGTAACAACCACTAGAGGGATGAACCAGTTATAAAATTTGGAAAAGGACTTGATAGTTGGTGAGAAGATTCTTATTTTTTTAATGTTAAAAACGTCAGATCCTACAATAAAAGGCTGGCGTTTGATCATTTTTAATTGTGAATTTTTACCTTTTATTATTTGTCTTTTAAAGAAGTTTTATCTTCTAACCAATGTAACTGTGTCTTTTGTGGTTTGTGTAAAAGGATTTAATGATAGACTCGAAAATATAAATATATTTTTGTAAATAGTCTAACTTCAAGAATTAAGATATTGAAGAATGTCCTGAGTCAACATTGAACATTGTGAAATATGTTTTAATATCAGTATAAATTTGTTACTCCTAATTTATATCTTCAACGATATTTATTGTGTGTTGATTTTGAGAGTGAGGCAAGTCCACTCTAAAGAAAAATATAAAGAATTTATTACCCTATGTACTACTCATTCATCATAATACTTTAAAAATTTGCACCGTCTAAACTAAGAAATATAATTATATGCATGCAACTTATTACTGAATATTTTTTCTTATTTTATTTACTTTTTCCAATAAAATCATATTTATTTTCTGTTTTGTTGTAGCTTTTTGAAAAAAAGCTACAATAAAACTATAATTTACTTATAATATATATTCTGAAGTAAACTATAATTATTATAGTTTACTTCTGACTGTAAAATTATTTCATGTTTTAAGTAGATATTATAAAAATATATCAAATTTAAATTCTACCTGAAGTAACATAGTTAGAAGGAAAATATCCATCAACATCAGATTTTTCTAATCTACCAAACCACCATCGAGAATCTTCTCGATTTTTTACATTGATGACATCTCCTTTTTGTAGAGGTAACTCATTTGGAAAATTGGAGTTATAATCGTATAAGGCAACAACCTAAATTTTAAAAATATGTATATATAATATTTACAAGTGCTAAATTGATTAAAAATATCACACTTTCATCTAAACTTACAAAGTCTATATTTTATATAACAATTAAATAAATTTTAAAATTCAAAATCATTATTGACTAAATTAAAAGTGTTTTAAATCAAAAGACAAGAGTTAATAGAATTATAGAATTTCAGTAAAATTAATATATAAATTAATATATAAATAGTTCATAAATTTCTTTTTAAAATGAAAGGATTATGAAATTTATATGAAATATATAAAATAAATGAAATAAATTTTAATGAAATTCTGTAATTGAGGCAAAACATTTAATAGCTGTAAATATATGACTAGAAAATAAGATATAATAAATTATCAATTTTCCAGAATAAAAAAAAAATTAATTCCAAACAAATTCCTAAATAATTCATCACATACTCTAGTTCAGGGGTTCCCAACTTGTGTTCCACGGAATCCTAGGATTTGGCCAATAAAATTTGAGTTTCCACAAAATCCACTGAATCTAGTGATGTATGAATGTGCTAATGCATTTTTGGGATGTAAGGTGTAATTGTTGCAGTCTCAATTGAGTCCTCTTATGATCTCCTATACATATACTAGAGTTCTTTATAGCTTTATAAACAGTGGAGACTAACCAAAACCATGATATAATGTTTGACAAGATAATGAAAACCATAAAAACAGTAAAACTTAACCTAGAACTGAAAAATAATTTTGAAAAAGAATGTTTAAATTATCCAACATACAAATAATAATACAATCGATAAATATGCTTCAATTAATCAATATCAACAACACAAGCCTATTAAATCTAATGACAGGACTGGCCAGTCAAATTCCCAATGGTACTGTGATACTAGTGATGAGTCACTCGTGTCAAATGAGCATCATTGTGTTGCCAAGGAGTTAATTAATAATCCATCATCTGTAGTGTGTTATTGCACAAGAAGTACAGTGTACAAGCAGGCATATCAGTCAAACATTATTAGAGTTTTGCATTGCAATCGTTTTGTGATATTTTAAGTACTTTTCATATAAAAAGAGTGGGAATCACATAAATATATAAATATATAGTGCTTTTAGTATTGTATATACCCCAAATTAAAAAATCATGGAGCATTGGCTAAGAGAAGAGTTTTGAAGAAAAATGTAATAAGTACTTCAAATGTTTCTAGTGACAAAGAGATTGAAAAGATGGATACAAACAAAGGTACAAATCCAGGCACTAGCACTATTTAAAATATTGAAAGAAAAAGTTTAGCCCTTCACATTAATGATCAGTTTGAATTAAGTAATAATATTTGCTTTCCATTATTAATCTTTGTTTTCATTTTCAATAAATTGTTTTTGATGTTTCTATTTGCTGTTTTATCTATAATCACTAAAAATTGTCAGGGTTCCAACACTTTTTACTAAGGTGAAAAGGGTTCCGTGATAAAAATAAGTTGAGAACCACTGCTCTAGTTCATAAAACTTGGCATCATGTTAATAAATAAATAAATAAATAAATAACTGCTTAGAGATGTTGAATTAGGAATGCCTAAATTAAGAAGCCAACATCTCCAATAAAAACAAAAACATTTTCAGTTAAGTTTGACCATCTACAGCTACAACACTCAAGTAATTGTAAACTGATGTTCGTCAGATATACAGTACTTAAACAAATAGTTTTTTTATAAGAGTATTGACCTGTTGAATTATTTAGTTATTTAGTTTATTTATTTATATTTGACTAAAAGATCTATAATGTATTTTGAAAAAAAATATATCATTTAATCTTCTTTGCTTCTAAATTTATTTAACTTCAACAAAATAATTATTTAAGATGTAATGTTTACAAGAATTTTGAATAGCTGGAGAATATAATAATATAAGCAATTTAAAAATAAAATTCAATAATAATAAACATTGAAATTAACTTAATAAAATTTAGAAAATTATAAATCTTTAAATTCTTTAATTTCAAGACCAAAATCCTAATGATCATTCAAAGACTGGCTTATTTTCAGATCCATGCACAAAGCATATTTGAACAATAAAAAATATACTATTAGATACTTATTTTAAAATACAAATAGACTTAAAAAACATTAGAATAAGATCACTATAGTATGTGCTAAATAAATTACATAATGTTGTTACATAAGGGTAATTTATTTTATCATGAACTGACATTTAATTAATACATGAGAAAATTAAACTAAAAATAAATCTTAAAACTTTAAATAACGGTTAGTAATTTATATTGAAGAAATTAGTTTAAAAAAGCTATTAATGAACATTAAATCAATGCTGCTTAACATTGACTTTCCAATATTGTCACATTGTGCTTTTTATATGTTGCAATGACATTAGCAACCATATCCAATATTCTAAACTGTTCTCTTTATGTTTCCTATTCACACTCAGAAGAATGTTTATGTCAATGATGAGCTTCTTGCCATTCTGCCTGGTAACAAAATACCCTACTAACACAATAAATGTTGTGTTACCAGTGTCAAAAAAATATTCCTTTGAAAACAGCAGAAAAGCTCATTTTCACTACAAACATTAACCTGAACATGAATAGAAAATGTCAAGGAACAACTAAGACCCTTTGACATAGCTGTAGTGATGTCCCTGAAATAAATAAAAAACAACAATGAGACAATACTGTAATGTAAATGTTGTTTAATGCATTAATTTAAAGTTTACCAATAACTTCTTTAAAGTAATTTTTATTTTTATGTTTTTCAGTCTAAAGTACTATACTACAGTATATATACAATGATTTACAGTTTTATCTTTAATTCAGTTTTATAGTATACTAAGTGCTATATCTCTGACTACCTTCAGCAGTTCAATTCCAACATTTCATGTTGCTTTATGATGTGTGTGTTCTCATGTGTTGAATTTATAATAATTTTTAAATAATATTAGTTAAATACATAATCAAATAAGTATAAATATGCTTATATTAATCATCCAAAGAACTTCACAATGTCATATGAGATGTTAAAGGTCATACTTTGATGTCTCATAGGACCAAATATTTCAATATTTACAGATTTGATCTTTTCTGGTAATATCCTCAATGTCCACTTTTGAATGCACTATTTCATTTTCCTATAAGAAGCCTGCTTCTATTAAAATATTTCATTTCAGTGAGTCAATCAGTGAGCCATATATAATAGTTTTATTATTTAGATTACCATTCACCAACAATCATATTAATTAATATTGTTACATACAGGTAGGGTAAACATTGGTAAATTCGTGATAAAATTAATTATTCTTTAATCATTGGACACATATTTTGTAAACAGAAATGTTAACTATATTATTAAAGGGTCCATATTTTGAAGATAACAGCATTGCTTTTTGTCTCCATGAATATATATATAGCTTAGTTTCCTAGGGATATATTTTTTATGTTGCATATGGGTGATTATTTTATGATATCATGGCTAACTTTGTGAGAGGATACTTTAGCCTGTATATTGTTAATTGAATTAATTTTTATTGTAGTACAAATAATGTTTTCTCTTACACTTTTTACCTGCAAACACATACATGTGCATGCATGTATTTACACAAAATAACTTCAATCTTCATCTGACTTGCTAGCACATCTTTCCCTCTTCATATAATGTCTAGCATTTCCTGTGGTACAAAACCAAACAGAAACTAGATTACACCTATTTCATCATGAGATTAATAGGAATTTGACAGACTTACACTATCTTAAAACACATCTCAAAGAAAAGAAAACCCTTAAGACATTACACCTATTGTTATTGTGCCCCATTTTCTTAACATTTTAACCCTGCGTTAGTGCACTGAGTTTTTTTTCGGCATTAGTGCAGTGGGGCGTTTGTCCACCCCGACATTTTTTTGAGTTTATAAACCATGTAAGTAAAAATTCATAAAGATTTACTCATTCATATGGTAAAGGCATGTGTTATTGTACATATGATTATATTCAGGTATGATTACATATTATATTAGTACATAAATCCATGAAAATAAAAAACAACATTTTTCAAAACTCATTACATTAGATCTTATTATTAAACCAATAGTAAAAATCTAAATTGTTTTTTAAGCATTTTTGTCACTCTGATTCAATAGCTGACATTGTACTTTGGCACTCATTGCAAATGACAAGCAACTTGCTATGTTTGGTATTTTCTCAATGTGTTTATGAAAGTCAGCCATTTTGAATTAAAATAAACTTAAATTATTTTTATTCACATTGATTATTATATCTATATTATAAATAATAAATGTGGTCACATTATAGTTATTT